TCCGTCAAAAATAAAAAGTTAATGCAAACAATGTTCTCGACCATGGTCGCAGGTTCGAGTAATTTTCTTAATGTTGGTAATGAATTAAGAATTCCACTGAAATTATTAATTTTAAAAATAAATTTAGGGAAATAATAAACATTTTTTAGCAATCAAATTCAAATTTTTATTTAAAATAATAGTTAAGTTTAATAAGTTAATTGTGTAACAAATTGTTTTTAAAAAGTGGATAAATCAGCAAAGTGAAAATTGTAAAAAAATTTTTTTGTTCATATTTCATCCATAAAACTGAAGATATTTTCAATTGTTGAAGATCTTTTGATTGAGTTTCAAGTTAAAAAAGAAAAAAATATTAGGGATCTTGAAAATAAGTGAATATGGTAAAAATTTGTAATTAAAGTATAATTTCAAAAAATTTATTTTAAGTACATAAATTTTTGATAACTAAATTTTTGGTGATTCTCTACTTTTGTATTTAATTTAATATTTTCTTTAACTAAATTAATTTAATTTTACCTTCATCAACTCTTGATTCCAAATTTTTATTCAAAATAGTTAATTCCTCAACTTTTTTCTTTTCTTCTTCTAATTCTTTTTCCTTAATTTTAATAAAATCAAGAGCACATCTCTTCTCTTTTTCAAGATCCTCAACTTTACTTTTAATTTTCTGAATAAAAATATATGTATTTATGCAGATTGAAATAAGTTTAAAAAAGGGAGCACACCAGGGGTGGGCCAGGTTAGCCTAACCCCGAAAAAATCCTAATCCAAACAAATCACCATAATCCCTGTAATTCCCCAAGTATCACTCCTATGAATTCCCCAAATCACTTATATCCCTCGATCACTTCGAAAAATTTGGCTTCATGCTCAAATTTTTAACTGACCCACCCCGATACCCGGCCTTTCTTAGGCACGAAACCCGATCCTAATTATCACATAGAGGAACTTTACAGATGTATTCGTAGTACACGAAAATATTTTCCTCAAATATTACACAATAAAATTACTTTAATTTCTTCTTCATATTCCGTTAAATTCTTCAATTTTTCATTCTCCTCTTTTAATTTAACATTTTCTTCATTAATTATTGCCAATTGATTAGCATTTTGAGCAAGTCTTTCATAAATCTCTTTATTTTCTTTTAATTTTTCAATTCAATTCAATTCAATTTATACGCATAAAACGTGACATTCAGATAAAATAAAGTAAAGTAAACGTGACAATAATTTAAATTTAAATCACTAAAGGTCTGGAGACATTTGAATGGAATGTGGCTTTGATAAAATATTGTTTAGGTTAATATTGTTTAGGAGCTTTGGAAACAATTCGATTGACGATTTTTGTAATTCTGTTGGGAGTTTTCTGTAAATGTTTGGGATGTCTATAAAGAATGAGTTTTTCCGAATGGTGCTTGAACAAAAGGGTATAAATAAATTATGCGGATTTCCTCTAGTAGTGGTAGGGAGAATGCTAAATGAATTATCATGTTTTAATTTAATTTTACCTAAAATAATATTATGGAAAAGGATAAGGTTTGATTTTAGACGTCTATGCGATAGAGATTCAAGTTTGAATAGGTCGAGAAGTTCTTTATAATCAGGTAATGTTGGACTGTTATTTTGTTTCCTAGAGCGTAAGTATATTATTTTTAAGAATTTATGTTGAACATTTTCTAGAGCGTTTATGTCTTTATTTAGATAAGGGTTAATTATAGGGGATCCAAATTCGAGGATAGGTAAGACATATATTTTGAATAGAGTAATTAGGAATTGGGTGTTATTAGTTTTAAGAGATCTTATAAGAGTATAATAAATTCTGGTTGCTTTATTTGTTGCAATTTTAATGTGAGAATCCCATTTTAGGTTGGATGTAAAATAAATGCCAAGATCACGGATATGTTCATTGGGTGGAATGATTGGTATATTTGTGTTTTGTAGAGAATATTGGTGGAAGGGATTTTTAGTTCCTATGTGGAATGAACTACATTTGCTGATCGCGATTTTAAGGCCGTTTATTTCGCAGTATTTTGAGAATGTTTGGATAAATGTTTGGAGTGGAGAATAGTGGTTTTTATTTGAAAAATCAAAGCAGGTATAGGCCTTTAAATCGTCAGCAAATAATTTGGGTGTAACATTATCTGTTTTACAGAAATCTATTAGATCAAATATATATGAGATGAATAAAATTGGGCCAAGGATGGATCCTTGAGGAACTCCACTTGTTATGGGATATTCATTAGAGTTATTAGATTCGACAAGAACAGTAAAAGTTCGATTTAACAGATAATCCTCAATCCAATTTAGTAAAGTGCTAGTGATACCTAGATGATGAAGTTTTTTCAGAAGGCGATCGTGGGGAACAGTATCAAAAGCTTTTGCCAGGTCAAAGAATATAACGTCAACACATTTCTTATTTTCTATAGCTAATGTGTAGTCGTTATAGGTTTCTAGGAGTTGAGTTATAACTGAGTGGTTTTTACGGAAACCATGTTGGCAGGTGGGAAGGTAATTGTTAGTTTCAAGAAATGAAGTTAATTTATTAGAGATAATCCGTTCTAAAATTTTAGAGGTTGGGCATAGGAGAGAGATAGGTCGGAAATCCTTGGGTTCATTTGGGTTATTATTTTTGGGAATTGGTCGGATTATTGACTTTTTCCAAATAGTTGGAATTTTACTTGTCATGATTGACATATTAAATATAATTGTTAATGGAATGGTTAATGAAGTTGCGGTGTTTTTTAAGAAAATGTTGGGAATTCCGTCCGGAGATATGTTATTAACATTGTCAAGTTTGGTCATAATGCTATAGATTTCCTCTGGATTGATATCAATAAAAGATAAAGTATTATTGTTAAAAGTTTTTATGTCAGAGGAGTCAAAGTTAGAAGAGTTAAAAACAGATTGGAATTGTTTGGCGAGACATTCGGCTTTATCTTTGGCTAAAATGGTAAATTGATTGTTAATGTTGAAGATTGGGATTTTGGTTTTTTTGGATTTAAGGAAGGCGCCTATATACTGGAATCTAGATCGGGAATCATTGAATTTTGAGATTTCTCTATTTTTAAAGAAACGAGAAATTTCTTTATCGATTTTTTGTTGAGTGAGAATGTATTTTTCACGGATAGCAGGTTTATTAATATTTTTCCATAAAAGGTTTTTATATGAGATCATTTTTTGAATATGTTTAGGGAATTTAGCAAAATCTTTATTGATCGTTTTTAATGGTATAAAATTTTGGATTATTTGATGAATGATTTCTAAAAATAGGGTATATTGAGAATCTACATTGGTACAATTTATAAACAAAGAATTCCAGTTTAAGCCGATTAGAATATTGTTAATTTGATTGTAATCGGCATTGTGGAAGTCATAAATGAATTCTGGTTCTTTTGGAAAACAATTGAAATTTAAGTTAAATTCAATGGTGTTATGGTCAGAATTTTTGAATGGGGCATTAATGGTAATATTTTTGGTAACGCGAGAGGTGGAAGAGGAGAAAAGTAGATCAAGATAATTGTTTTGTCTAGTTGGGGAAGAGATTTCTTGAATTAGATTAAAGTTTTCTACGAATTGAATAAATAATTTTTCAGACGGTGATTTGTGATTGAGAGCTAGCGGTATATTATTCTTCCAGATTAGATTGGGGAAATTAAAATCACCTACAATTATGTAGTTATGATTAATAGATATTAGGTAACTTAAGGTCTCAAGAAATTCTTGGAAGTCATTTAAATTTTCGTTTGTTGTGGGACGGTAAACTGTTATTATTCTAAATTTGTCAAATTTTGGGGAATAAATGTCTATGGCTACAACATCGGAATTTTTATTTTTAGGAGTTTTAACGGGAGAGAAAGGAACTATATTATCTACTAAAATACATGCACCACCGCCCCTAGAACCTCTATCGCATCTAACAATGGAATAGGATGTACTATGTAAGATTTGGGAATTATCGATTTTTTTGTTCAACCACGATTCGGAAACACAAATTATTTTAAAGGATTTAGAAATTAAAAGTAATCTTAAGGCATCTAATTTGTTAACTAAGCTCCGGCTATTAAAATATAGACATTTATAAAAAGGGGAATTCTTTAAAAAATTTTTTAAAACCTTGAATCTTGGACGACCACTTAGTGGTTTTTTGTTCTTTCAGTCACATTGGCACTCATTCTTTTATTGTATTCATCTCGCTTCTTAGTACGTTCAATTTTCTCAGCTTCCAATTGTTCACGAGTTAGACTTGGCCTAATCAATAAACGAGACCATTTAGCTTCTTTTTTCATTTCCACTCTGTGACGTTTCCATTCAGCAAGTGTAATTCGCTGAAACTTTGAAGCACCAAAAACAATTTTAAGTAAACGACAACCTTTAGCAGTTGGGTCATACTTACCCATTCTGTATGAAACGAATGGGCTCTCAACCCCCAACAAGTTGAGTACATCTTCGATTGCAGCTTTATCTTCAACAACACGAATTGATGGTGTTGTTGATTTAGATTCTTCTAGACCAATAACAACAATAGAACGGTTGCGCTCTTGTTCACTTGCTGATGACTCATTGTTTTTAAAATTTGTTTCAATTGTTTCAATTTTTGATTCAATTGTTGTTAAAGCATTTTTAATTTGAAGAATTTCATTAGAAAAAGACGAAAATTTTGTGTTGTTATTATCGATTTTTGATTCTAAAGCAGCCAATTTTTCCATTATTTGTTGTAATTCAGATTTTGTGGGTGCCATTTCGGCGTATTTAAATCTTTTATCTGAAATCTCAAACTTGGGTATTTAAACCTTGGGTATTTCAGTCAATTGTTTTTCACATTTTTCTTTACTTTTCTTCAAATTTTCCAATTCTTCGTTTATTTTAATTAAATTTCCATCAGAATTATTTATTTCAATTTCTTTCTCCTTTTCTTTAATTCCTTCCAAAGATTTAAGTCTTTCTTCATCAATCCTTATATTAAATAAAGTTTAGTTAAACAAGAATTATACTTAAAATAACTTACTTAACTCCAAGTGGTGGGTCTGCTTTTACATTAACAAGAAGAATGATAGTATCCTCTTTCTCATCATACCAGCCTTCTTCAGGATCCATGATATTCTAAATTTAAGAAATCTTTAATCAAAAACCTTTAAAAAATTACTTCAATAGTCATAAACTGTGCATAACCCCAATCATTCTCCTTCGCATGAAATACATGGGTTACTTTACGGACATGATTTTCTTCCTCTGGTTTTTGTGCAAGAATTTTAAGAGCAGCTTTAGCAGAACAACTCCAAGAAGGATCTAAAATGGAATATAAGATAATTATATATGTATACAATGGCAATAAATATAAGGACCTGCATCCCCATTATTACACTGTAGAAAATAACCAAGACATCGGCGGCCAGGAAAACGAGCAGACATCTCTCTTGCTATAGCCAAAATTCTCCAAGGCAATCCACGAATATAAACTGGATCGCTCAGTCGACGATTATTAGGACTACTTTCACGAGCAAACTCACTAAAACTTTCAATTTTTAGAATAATCTGGCCCTCTGACTTGTATGGATCTAAGAAGAGTTTATTTATATGCAATACTTTAATGAGGATAGAAGAGTATAAAACCTTCTTCACCGTTAGTTCTCGCGGACAAAACTTCATCTGTAATACTATCAACCTCCATCTTCTTATCAATAATTCACAATACTGGAACAGAAAATTTAAAGAAATTAACAACGAATTCTAAAAATATAAGTATAACATTTAAAATTAGTAATATAAGATAAAAAGAAGCAAGAGTAGAGGTGGGACCCCCGGAATAAGATATAACCAATGCGGTGGACCCAAACCCCAGATAATGGAATACGGGAGGGAATATGCCCGGGACTTCCTAGGATAAACTTAAGGGTTGATCAGGCCCCCAGTTGATCTCCTGCACCAGGCATACACAATTGAACACACAATTTATATATTTATTAAATCCAAATATTAAAGCATTTATTTAATTCTTTTATTAAAGTGAAAGAATAATAAGACACTTGTAAGGTGATTACAAATCCTTTTAAATGTGTGAGAAAAGTGGGAGGGAAATGAATAATAATGAAATGACTATAAACTATAGGAAACAAACTCCGAGAATACCTTTGACCCTTACACGTCCCTTCCCCATCAAGACCGTCCCTGGTCTTAATCTAGACTTAACAGACTTTATTTTATTTTTCAAAATTTAATTTTTCATCGTTTCCCAAACTACTTAAATAATGACCATTCACATTTATTTTCTCAATCGATAAGCACTCTGGTGAGATGGCGAACCTAATTTAAATTTCTTCTTTATTTATCACATTTCTTTTTGTGCTCTTCGAGCATATCTCTCCTTTTTCCTTTTTTGGACCGACCCTGGTCCATTTTTAGTGCTTATCGATTATTTCATGAGAAATTTCACTTGATATTATTAAGTAGTGGGGTTTGATATAATTGTAATTGTAAGAGTTTCAGAGTCTGTTTAGTCTAGTTGGGGTTGTATTCCTAAAATTTCTTCAGGTTTCAGGTGAGTATGTTTCCTTTTGTATTAAAATATGGGTACGAGTAAAAATGCATATAAATTTCAAAAATTAAAAATAAGGATAAATTGTGACATTGAAATGTTTGTGAAATTATAAAATAAATTAAACGGGTAACGCTTTGAATAAAAATATAAATTCATAAATCAATTGTGTGAAATAAAATTTAAAAATATCCAGAAAACTACCGAAGTGTTTGTGAAATGTGACAAAAAAAAATTGGGTACAAATGAGTGGAGTAAAACTTGTAATAGAAAATATTTAGAGAATTGGAAAAGGAATATTCTAAAAATAACGTACAAAATAAATTTGGGTATAAATGGTTTGGTTGAAAGGTTAATAGAAAAAGTTTTAAGTATTTTGAATAAACATTTAAAATTAATGTAAAAGTTTTGACATAAATAACATTTGATTTGTGGGTATAAATGGGTATATTTTAAAAGTTTGCAAAAACAATAATTTTGAAGTTGGGAATTATATAATAGAAGAGCATAAATAGTAATTTAAAAAAAATTTGGGATATTTTTAAATGTAATTGTGAAAGATTCTTTAAAAATTAATAGAGTAAATGTAAATAATTTGTGAGGGAGTAAGTCTTATAAATATAATTGTAAAAATTTGTAACAAATTAAGTGAAATTTGAGAATTTAAACATTTAAAATATGAAACTAATAAATGTATTAAATTTAATGTAATCAGTGAGAGTTTAAGCTTAAAAATATAATTATAAAATGTATTTAAGTGAGGGTAAAAATTTTGTAAAAAAAATGACAAAATGTAATTATAAGTGGAATAATACAAATTGGCATAAGTTAAAAAAAAATTTAAGTATATATTAGCAATAGGTAAGAAATATTGGGAAAACATTTTGATTGACATTTAAAATGTATAAATAAATGAACTATGATTAAAATTGAATTAATAAATTTAAATAATTTTGATTAAGTGAAGGAATTGAAATTACAGGTAAGGCATGTTATAAAAAAATTTAAGATTAATAAAACCAAAACAAATAATGGGAAAGATTTGTAAATGACATTACATTAATGAATAAAATTCAGTTTAAAATAATTAAAAGGAAGTGAGAATGTGATTTAAAGTACAAAAAAAAATTTAATTGATTAAAAACACAAATTTAATATTTTCCTCCTCTGCCTCTCCAACTCTCATTCTTCCTTCAAGTATTCCAATTACAATTTCGAGCAATATGTCCAGTGCGCCCACAGTTGAAACATGTAACATGTAAAAAAAAATGTCCTAAACATGTCCTGCTCCTCTCAAATTTGTATTAGCATATTCTTTCCAGGTTTGTTCAGCTGGTCTTTTCCTGTAATTTGATAAATTAGTATTTATATTATTTTTATTAAAATTTAAGTCTTTTTCAAACCACTCATTATCTCTAGAATTCCTATCATTTCTGCTCCAATTATTAGTTGATCCAGAAGTGCGGCCGAAACCATATGAAGATGTTGAAGGCTGTTGTTGTTGCTGTTGAGGGGGATACTGCTCATCCACAAAGTCACCGACCATCCGACCCGACGAAGACAACAATTGACCGAACCTATCTCGCATACAACTACCCGACTGGAGGACTTGAAGATATTCCGGACCGACAATTTGAGTGAACTCAGTTGCACAACAGATGAACCGATTCCAGATAATTCTACATCGAAGTATTTCAACGTCAGCTATAACGAGGAGAGCATGCTTAGCACGACTCACGCCACCGTGTCATCCTTGAGAAACTCCGAAGAGTCTCCAAGGCCATCAGCTCTACTCGAAGACCTAGTTGTTACACAGTATGGCCAAAACATTCCAACCCAAATCCTCAAACTCTTTTTGGAGAGACTCTTTCTGAAAAGTACATAAACAAATAACAGCCAGAGAAATCGGTGGAAATTTTGTCGTACAACGCAGAAATCAATTTAATGGCAGAAGCCGAATGTTCATCATTGCACAAAGAGTGAGAAGTGTTGTCCTGTCTACAAGTTTCAAGAATATCAAATAGCCAGAGAAAAATGCTATTGCGTTGGAATCCGCCATCGCATGACATCAGAGGACCTCCTCCAACTTCTTGGCTAGCTTTGCCAAAGGCAAATTAGCTGCAGCTACAACTGCAACCTTCACATTGTTCAAAAAGGAATCATAACTGAATCCAAATGAGTCTTTCAAACGCCTGGTGGCGCCTATTGGAAAACAAACTTGAAATCATCTTCCAAGAGAATTTTAGCGGTCTTCTGCTGTTTTCCGTTTAACATATTCATTAGTGGGTGAACAATGAGGACTGCCGAGGCATTTGGTTCTTCATCATCAAAATCTGTTTCAAATTCACGAGCTACTAAGGCGAGGAGGAGTTCAACTTGATTCGTACTCTGGCTGACAACATCGACGGTTAGTGTTGTTCAAAACAATCACGTCGACTCTCAAGACCTTTGAATATTAGTGGATGACAAACAATAAAACCGCCATCTTTCGCGTCTTCGAGTTCCTGCTCAACATCCCTGTTCTTCCGCTTTTGAACATTAATAACCTTAACACTTTTCCAAAAATCAAACTTTTTATTCCCGAAGGACTGAACTTGGGAAAGATTTATCTTTTTAACAACTCTCACTGCAAAATGGGCTTCAGTCACCTCAATTCCAAATAGCTTCTGTCACCTCAATTCCCAGCTCAATCTCTTCATCATCATCTTCTTCCTCTTCGTCTTTTTCTTCTTTATCCTCATTATTTTCTTCTTTCTTTTCTCCTTCATCCTCTTTACCCATTTCGTCAACCTCATTCATTTCCATTTCTTCTGGCCAATCTTCTTCAACAACTTCAATCCAATCTCTGAAGATGTTGACCCTTGGTTCTTCGTCATTTTCAATATTCCTGGGCTCTTCTTCTTCCTCATTAATAATATTTTCTTCTTCCATTTCATCTTTCTTCCATAATTCAGGATCCGGTACTTTGTTGAAGCACATCTCAAAACTATTGAAAATCTAGGAAATTTGTTTAATTAAAGGAATATTATATATTTTTTTATATATTTTTTATATTAAATTTAAATTTTAAATCCATTTGATAGCCGAAGCAATTATAAGTATTATCTGTTTTTTGGGCTTTTTCTTAAATTGTATCTACTTAGTCCCTGGCGAACTACTACTTCAACCTGACTACCTTCTGCTACTTCTGAATTTGGCTCAGCTACTTTACTTTGCGAGAATCCTGGCGTGTTAACTATTTATTCTGCACCAGATTCTTCTAACGCTTCCAACTCTTCTGCTTCTAACCTAGGAGTTGTGCAAACCGGTTCAGTCGGGAGTGGCTCTATACATTTCTTAAGCTGATTAAATTGGATGAGCCTATTTTACCAGCATAATTCCGAAGAAGCACTCTATCGCCGATTGTTACAGTGGGATTCCTAATCTATCTGTTTTTGACCTTTGCTGTGCCTCAAAATTGGCTTCCGCTGCATATTTCCAAGCGCTTCGCAAAGAAACTATTAATTTTTGTTTAATTTCTTGTGTATCATTTGATGCTATAGGATCTCTAATTTTAGGATCAAGAATTAAATCAACGCAAAAGATTGGATCTCTGCCGTATATCAAAAGGAATGGGGTTTCATTTGTTGAATGGTGGACCGAGGTGTTATAACAAAAGTTGGCGAATTCAAGATGTTCATCGAAATCTGGCTGGTCTTTAGTAATACACTTAGCGAGAATATCGTGGAATTTTCTGAATGACCTCACAGTCACTGCATTGCCTTTGCTCCAATGAGGTATGGCATACGTTTTATTAATGTACAACATTGCACAGACTTTTGAAAAACTCTGAAGTAAATGCCAAAGCATTGTCAGTAATTAATTCCGTGCAGCCGCCGAAGAGTAAATAACAATTCCTGATAAATGCCGAAGCAAAGGTACACTTTTTGGGGCTTAATTTTAAATTAAAACGCCTACATCTTTCAAAAACACTTCTGAGGGCCTTAATATGCTCATCAAAATTTTCAGACTTAGTGAAAATTAATATATCATCAACATAAGCAATCACATTTTCAAGTCCAGTAAGTACATGATCCATTATTCGCGCGAACGCACTAGTAGCATTTTTAAGACCGAATGGTAAATTTATCATTTGATGAATTTTATCCTCAGTAATTATACACATTTTCTTGAGGCCCTTTCACTAAGC